AAGATCCAAATTCAAATCCAAGTCGTGAAATCTAAGATTCGTAAGGAGTAATGGTCACAGATAATCATGAATAGATATCCCAACATTTTGTCCTGGATGGGCGTAAGAAACACTCTTTTCCCCACATTACATCACTTATTAAAAAATAAAATTAAAAAACTTGCCCCATCTGCTGTAACAAATACATTTCATAAAAAAAAAACATGACATTGTGCAATTAAATTAATCCACTATTTTCTTTGGCACAAACGGGATGGACTGTGCTTGGGTAAGGTTATTTTCCATTCCTTAGCATTTAACTAAACAAATCACGACTTAAAGATGAGACGCTCTGGGTGAATAGAAGCCCTATTCTTTGAAAGACAAAAAAAATCTGAACTTGAATTATTTTGTAGAACAAAGTCATATACACTCACAATCAACCAAATTTAGTAGCATAAACTGAAGTTGAAAACAAAGCCGATTAAAATGAAGCATTACCATGCGTTTGATCCACCAATCACTTGAACCCTTAATTTGTGGTCCCATTTCTAATAAAAGCGTCGTCTTTGATTTAATTTGCCGAAGCCGAAGGCATCCACGGCTCCAAGCCGACCCAATTATAATATAACAAAAAGCAGTCGAGTGAGCTAAGATGAGTCCAGAGGAATATTCCTGAGGTTTTGGCTTTGCTATTGCCAAATTGCTGTGCTTAGCTGTAGTGTGTTGGGTGATGGAAGTAAGTAATTTGTCTTACCATTATGAGACGACAACGATCTTCCACTAAATGCCAACCCAATCCCTGTGCTGTCCTCCGGCTCTGGCATATACATATATATAGATACATACATATTTCGCTTATGGTCTATCATTCTTATTTAGTTCAAGTACAGGGGCAGAGGCAGACAATTCCCCCTTTTAGTCTTGACGTCACAATGTGTGTTGAGAAAAGAAAAATGGCGATCGCTGAGGATGTGGAAGATGGTGGGCAAGAAGCGGTAAGACAACCATTGGTGCAAGAGGAGACTAAGTCGATTCACAGCAGTCGAGAGCGTGGGTCATGGATGGTCTACTTCAGCACGTTTGTGGCTGTTTGTGGCTCCTACGAATTTGGAACTTGTGTAAGCTTACTCACATCACAACTAACTGTCTCCCCCTCCCAACTGTTGTGCGGCGTAAGGATCTTTGTTATGTGGTTTTGGTTGCAGGCAGGTTACTCCTCGCCCACTCAGAGTGCTATCATAGAGGATCTTCATCTCTCTTTACCCGAGGTATGATTCAAATCAGGATGCTTTCTAAAACAAGTTGGGGGGTTTTTCTTTACATTTGTGGCTCTCACAATCCACCCTTCCTTCTGATTTTGTACCTATGCTATAAAAGTCGCTCTTGAATTATTCATTCTACTTCATGTGGAAATGCATTGGATGTTGGTTTATAAGTACTGAGTGGAGTGAGAGGCCCAATCATCTCAACAAGCATGTATACTAAAATTATGGCTCGTAAATTGTAATATATATATATATGCCGAATGCTTTTTGGTAAATGAGCTCACTCTAACCGACATTACTGTTTCCTTTTGGTGTATTGTTACCTACGTTGTTTTAGTAGATCTTGGTTTTTTTAGAACGCAAAAAAGGAACGTGATTTGGAAGATAAAATATTAGCTGTCGAAAGCTGAACCACTTTGAATCTTCTGTCTCCTTTCTTCTCACCTTTCATAGTCGCATATGTGTGAAGCTTCTAAGCATGACTAAATGTTGCTATGGATTCAGGTTGGGTTGGTAATGGGAAAGCTATTATTTGTAATAACTTCAAAATGTTTTTCTCTCAAAATTTATATTTATGCAGTTTTCACTGTTCGGCTCCATACTGACATTTGGTGCAATGATTGGTGCAATTACAAGTGGACCTATCGGAGATTTCCTGGGGCGGAAAGGGGTGAGCAGACCAGGATTATAATCTGTCTATTGGAAGTTGAAATTACTAAGTTCTAGAAATCATCTACACCTCTGTTTTGGTAGGCAATGAGAGTCGCTACCGGTGCTTGCGTGGCTGGGTGGTTAGCAATATACTTCGCTCAGGTTGGTTTTTCCTTTGATTTGTTCTCTTTCCTCGATATACGAGTAGAATGGCCATGTATGTGTAACCTCGATTACTGCAAAAGGGAGCAGCGGCTTTGGATATTGGACGATTGGCTACTGGATATGGAATGGGAGTCTTTTCTTATGTGGTACATTTTTCAATCCATTCTACCACTAATTTTATCTTCTTTGTTTCCGTTTTGTTGTTCTGTATCAACAATGTATTCATAATAAATATTTAGGTTCCCATTTTCATAGCTGAGATTGCACCTAAGAACCTCCGAGGAGCTCTAACTACCCTCAATCAGGTAAAAATACAAGATAAAAAAGCAACTTAATAGACCGTTGAAGTAACATTGGAGTAATTGTGGGGTTACCTTCATGTTGTTATTGTACAGTTGATGATTTGCACAGCGGTGTCTGTATCCTTCATAATTGGGAATGTAGTCTCATGGAGAGCTCTAGCATTGATTGGTAAAATTTTGTGTGTGCCACTCTAAGTAAGGACGTCAAGGAAAAGAATGATTGAGTTCCTTTGTTGAGTGGTTGCAGGACTAGTCCCTTGTGTCATTCTCACATTCGGTCTTTTCTTCATTCCTGAATCTCCAAGATGGCTGGTAAGAAGAGTAATTGATAGGAGACAAACCATTGTTTTGGGATGTATTTCCCATGAATCTAAATGAACAAGAATTGGAAATTGACCACAGGCAAAAGAGCGACGACAAAAGGAATTTGAAACAGCTCTCAAAAAACTTCGTGGTGAGGAGGCGGATGTGTCCCAAGAGGCAGATGAGATCCAGGTCTTTGTCCTTCCTTGAAACACTTCTCCTTCCAACCGACTCTTGGTCTGCATTACATTACATTACACATTGATGCTCAACTTTGTGTACAGGACTATATAAGGAGCCTTGAACAACTCCCCAAACCCAAACTGACTGATTTGTTTCAGAGGATTTACTTGCGCTCAGTCATTGTAAGCTCTTTATCTGAACTGATGCTACACTTTGTTTTACGTGCTCTCTACACACTCTCACTGGAATTCATGACCTATAATTTCTTCTCACCAGATTGGGGTTGGATTGATGGTCTGTCAACAATTTGGAGGAATCAATGGGATCTGCTTTTATGTCGCCAATATTTTTGAGTCAGCGGGTATTGAAACATACAATTCTTATCTGCTGACGCAATATTTGTCAACAATTTGGAGCCATTGTATACAAATCTCTCACCTCTTTTGTTGTTTGCAGGATTTTCGGTGAGCGTTGGAACTACAACCTATGCAATTCTTCAGGTACCTTAGTCTTCATCTGATCATTTCTCATGAAAATTGCCTTTCCAATTACGAACATGGTGCTTTTTATAGGTCATAGTAACAGGCATTGGTGCGATCTTAATAGACAAGGCTGGAAGAAAGCCCTTGATACTGGTAAACTTTAGTTTTGGACTCACTAGAGAAGAAAAGAAATATATATATACAAATGCATACAGCTGCTCATTTCCTTGGTTTTTTCGTGTTTTTGCTTTTAGGTTTCTGCATCAGGGTTGGTCCTCGGATGTATCCTAGACGCAGTTGCTTTTTATCTGAAGGTAACAGAACGTTTGGTATTCTCTGAAACAACTACGCACTTCGCTTTATCCCGAATATGTCATATGTTCTATCAGTTATGTATTTCTACCCTGCCCGAATGCTTATGAAGCGATGATTCCTCTTTTCGGCTTAGGGGATTCCTCTTTTCGGCTTAGGGGATTCCTCATACCTACAGCCGTTTAGGTTGCTCTCCTTTTTTGTTTTGAACATATATCTTTCATGGTTTCTATAAATAAGTAAAACAAAAGCCGATGGTTTAGATAATTGGGATCAGATTAATAGGTCAAATGTACTGACTATGATGCAAGGATCAATAAAAGAATTAGTGCATGCAAAATCTTCTTTATTTCTGCAGATTATAGATAAAACTGATATGTATTGAGATTTACTTAAAACTTCCACTTGCTGAATACCAGGCGAATGAAATAGCAATCCAGGCAGTTCCAGTGTTAACTGTAGCTGGGGTGTTGGTAAATACATCAAGTTTCTTCAACTCTCATTGTAGTTTTGAAGTTTTTGTGTCTCTAACAATTTTGTCTGAAATTCAGGTGTACATAGGATCCTTTTCGATTGGAATGGGTGCTGTTCCTTGGGTTGTAATGTCTGAGGTAAAAGATGATAGTTTGTAGCAGTTAAAAGTTTAACCAAAGGCTTAGATTTGGTAATTTTGTTGCAGATATTCCCCATAAACATTAAGGGACTGGCTGGAAGCATAGCAACACTAACCAACTGGTTTGGTGCTTGGGCTTGTTCGTATACTTTTAACTTCCTTATGGCCTGGAGCTCCTATGGTAACCGCACCACCCATTTTGCCCTTTCCTTTCAAAATAGAATCACTTCAGATTTGTTCCATAAAGCTATGATCTGTGTTCTCTTTTCATTACTTGAGCATTTGAAAATTTCTCTTTTCATTACTTGACTTGGTGAAATCCGCAGGTACCTTCCTTATTTATGCTGCAATCAACGCAATGGCTATAGGGTTTGTGGTGACGGTAGTACCCGAGACGAAGGGGAGGTCCTTGGAACAAATCCAAGCGGCTATTAATGGATAGTCTTTTGAAAATTTCTGTCATTAGCACTACTTCCGCATCTTGCTTTGCTCAGTGCTTCCGGACTAAACTCCGCATTTCCTTTTCCATCTATTTAACTAACATTGGAAAATTGTTAAAAGTTGTGAAATAAGAAAGTGGTCTGCTCGGACGTTGTTCCATTGCCTGGTAACTTAGAGGTGTTGGTCGCAGACACCGCAGAATGAACGATTCCTTTACGGTAATACAAATGAGTGGGCAAATAAAAATATCCGCGAAAATACTACATTTTATAAAGTTAAGTGAAGTTATGAAACCACTTACTACAGAATAATTAAGCAAATATTGCATTCTATAATGTTAACACTAGTAGCAGACCAATCGTCGGTATTATAAAATTCCACAAACTAAGATATCATAGTGAGTTCCTCTGAAAATCAAATTGTTCGTAGCAAAATTTCCATCAAGAGTGAATTACACAATTTTGAAAACCAAATCATCCCCTCTTCTTACTCGAAGTCCGCCGCTCAGCCTCTTTTTCTGCAGTGAGAACACAGAACTCCGACCCAAGCATTTCATGCACATCGATGTTCAGAGAAATACTTAGACTTACTGTCTCCATTATGACTTCTACTGACATTATGAAACCTAAGATAGACAATACTCGAATGGCGTTTGCAGTTCTGCATATATTCTGACGTGTCTCCAATGGAGTATATATTCTTTCTTGCACTTGGTTACCAAAACTTCCTTCAAATTTTGAACCCTTCTGTTCAGATTTATTAATTGGATCTTCTACCATCATATCCTCTGTAGGATCAACATGCTCCCCAATCCAGATAAATCCATTGCATCCAAGTATTAAATCAATACCATACTGCTCCAAATGATGGAAGTGCTGTTTGCGTCTCTTTACTAGATACGGTGAAACTGTGAGCAGCTGACCTCTTTCAAGCTGGATACAAATGCAGTAATCTTATTAATCAAGAAAAAAACAATATTTAAAACGGTCGAAAAGAAAAGTTGTCAGGAACATAATAACCATTGCAACGAAGAAATCTTATTCAAATATAACCCTCCCAAAATTGTGAACTTATCACGCTAAGCATAAAAGGAAAATATAACAATCAGAAGTAAACATAATTTCTGTGTTGAGATATTGCGTTATAGCTATTCACACCTTAGCGATGGATCGGTTTGTTCGCATTCGCACAATAACTTTTCTTTTACCATCTCTTACATTTTGTCTTACCTCGGCACATCTGCTAGCTCCCATTCTTACATTCACTCAATGGTTTCTACCCGTCACTCTTTTCACATTAATCACAGCCCTTTTTCCCTTATTCCTGGGCAACAAACAAACCCATCTTTACAATTAGTTCTAACCACTAGAATTTACCCAGGAGGTTCTTCTATAAATTAGTACTCACATTCTTTCAAGACTCTTTTTACAGAATCTCTCCTAAGAAACAAGGGAAGATGTGTATGGAGATTTGTTTCAAAAGCTTATTTTGTTATTACATCAACATCCAGAAACTTAAAAAAAGGACTCATTTCACCTTCCCATATTTCTGGCTTCTTGCTTGAAGGTGTAGGCCATCATGCTGGAAACCACGAACTTCTGCCTGAGAAAAGTTATGGTGATGTTATTATTATTTTTTTTTTTCTTGACTGGAAAATGAAGCATGTGAAACAATTAATGATGAGAGTGGTGTTTATTTATAGTGCAAGGTTAAACTACAGTGCCAAAGTACGTCTCTTTGAAGCCTTTGTGCCAGGCACAAGGCATGCCTAGAGTCCGAGAGAGAAGAGAAAAAAGAAATAACAGGTATATTGCATCACTTGCTGATAAAGTATAAGGCGAGAAAAGTAGAGAAAATCAAAGAATGACACTTATGGGCAAGAGGCACAAAAAGGCTCTTGAGTTAAGAATCTACAACATTAGAATGTCAAAAAAATAATAATGGGACCTTAGTGAAGAGCAACAAGCCACAAAAGGGCCCTTGAATTAAGACACCTGGCCCGAAACCAAGCAAGGTGCCAAAGACGCATCTATCAATCTAATGTGCTGGAGCCTATGTTCCATACCTTTTACAAAGGTGTTGTGAGTTAAATAACAAAAGATCAAGGCCATCGTGTTTTGGCCAAAAGGTCAAGACGGTATAACTTAAAGTTATGGTTCGAACTCCATGGTACCACGGTACTCTCCTATGATATTAAAATCCTACAAGTTTCTTAACAATCAAATATCCTAGGATCAAACAATTATCTAACCAAAAAAACTAATAAAATTTTAATGCTTCAAAATATTCAAAACATGGAACAAACCCACTTAGACGTATGTCACATGAGAAAATTGGTAGCACGTATTCTTTCTGATGGTGCTAGGTGAAAATGGAACTAAAAACTTACGCAAATAACATCATTTTCTTCAAAAATGGTCCTCATGTTGAGTTCATCCACTGCAGTTCGCCTCCTCTAGAAAAAAAAAAACGAATATACCAAAGTTCAAACAATAATCCACAAATGCAATCACTCTATAAAAGATAAACTGCAGCAAGTTTGCAGTAGAGTTATCTACAAAATTCAGCAGTTATTCATCATCTGGTGCGAGACACCATTATGTACATAAAAAAAAGGGATTTCTCCAGTACCTGAATACCATCAGGCAAGTTCATAGAAGAAAGCATCAAAACAGCATCTTGGCTATAATTTATATCCAATCTCCAACGTTTAGGAGCAACCTGAATGAGATAGTAGAGATTGGGGGGG